TCAACCTCTCCTATCTTTTAAAAAAATAAACATTGTGAAAAGGAAGAGGTTCATCTAACCATAAAAAGAAAAAATGAAGGCACATGATTTTATTCTGTCCCATAATCCTTAAAATAATGGTATTTTGCGTGTGTGTGTGTGTGTGTGTGTGTGTGTGTGTGTGTGTGTGTTACTGGGCAGCAAACCCAGAGCCTTCACACTGAGCTACATCCCCAGTCCTTTTGAGACAAGTTCTCCCTAAGTCACTATGTTGCCCAGGCTGGGCTTGAACTTGTGGTCCTCCTGCCTCAACCTCCCTCCTCTTGGTCTTTGTGGGAAGACAGAGCTAAATTTGAGCAAGAGAGGAAGAGGTGTGGCCAGAGTCCCCTTCCTGTTCAGCTGTCTGACAGGCAGCAGGTGCCAGATCCTACCCACCCAGTGAGGTCCTGCCACCAGACACTTGGGATGGCATCACCTTGCTCACCACTTTACTGTGCCCTAGACTACAGCAAGGGACCACTGCTCAGATGTGCACCACAGGTTCTGTCCTGAGGTTGCCTCTTCCCTCTGGATTCCCCTTCTGCCATGCACCTGCTCCAGCAGCCAGTGACCCTGTGGCTCTCAGCAGGCAGTGGCTCACGGACCCAGATCCTGCTTCCATACCGAGATCTATCACCTTTCTCTGTCTAACCCAATTTACTCCTGTGCCTCAGTTTCTTCATCTGTGCCAGAGGTCCTGAGAACAGACTGGGGCACCTAACAAGTTCTATTTAAATTTTGCTATTTTTATTTGATTCTTTAGATCTCTCTATAGAGGTAGGCCACAGGATGTGTACATAGTTCAGAGGTAAAGAAATAACTTCCGAGGAGTAAAATAGCCTGCCCAGCATGATGCCCTGGCCTGTGTGCGTGGTGCTGGGTGACAGACCAGGCCAGGATGGCAGGAGGGCTTCTCTGAGACCTCGTGAAAGCACATCTTACTCGGGACTCCCTTCACTAGGCTGTGCATGCAAAGGCCAGAGTTCCGTGGGCAGACATTTGTTCTCAGGCCCCAGGACATCTGCAGCCCCCCTGCCCACAGGGACTAGCGGTTCACTCTGCCTGTCTTGTCCCCTGAACCTACAAAGTTACCTTGGGCAGTGCCTCTTAGAAGGAATCACTTCAGACCCTCATCCCAAGCCCCCTGCCCCTACCCAGTCACTGGGAGCCTTCCCCACCTGCCCCCAAAAAGATCCCAAAGAGGGCTTGGGCTCTCTGGACTCTAGTGGCCCCATCTAGGGCTCCAGACTGAGAGGCTGGCCAAGCTGGCCATGCCCTCTTTGACCCTACCCAGGCTGACCCCTCTGGTTTCTCTTCTGCCCCACAGGAGCCTGCTCCTCAAAAACTGTTCTCAGCCTCCATCCTCTCCGCACAGCTGCTGGGCCTCCACAGCAGACTCCTGAAGAAGCATCGTGACCTCCTTGCTATTCTGGGGGCCTCTCTGGGAGCCCAGCTTGATGCCAGGACAAAGGACAGAGAATTTAAGCACAGAAATGCCAGACCTGTTCTCTCCATCCAACATGACCCAGGGCCTGAGAGACTGAGGGCTGGGGGATGCAGCTGCCAGGAGCACTGGCGCCCAGCACACTCTGGATTAGCTCCCTGCACTGACAGGGCCTGGGCACCCACGCAGGGCTGGGAGGGAGGTGAGAAGATTCACAGTCAAGGGGACACGGCCTGCGCTGGCTCCCTGCTTCTGCACAACCACACAGGCTGCCGGGGAGTACAGAAGACCAGAGAGAAGCCCGGGGGCATCACACATGCCCCATGCCCCTCCCTGGCACCTGCTCTTCCTGAGTGCTGCTCCCAAATCAGACATACCTCTGGCTCTCCTCCAGTCCATGTTTACAGAGCATCAGGCTGTCTTTGATCCCAACTGGCACCCAGCCCTGTGCAGGAGAGCCTGGGCCTGCTGGCACACCCTGTACCTCAGGCTGTGACGGGAGTCGAGTCCCTCCCTCTCGCCCACTTCCCTCGAGCCTTCTCCAGCGCTGGCAAGGAGGTGGGACCAGAGCCAGCACAGGTCACGGACTGACCTGCACCCAGAACAACACGACCCACTGTCCACACACTGCCTCCCACAGCCCTGGACTGCGAAGCTGCTTGCCTGGCCTGGACCCGGAAGGGGAGAGGCCCACTTCCTTGACACCCTCAGACCTCAGGGCTGGAGTGAGCAGTGGTGGGCAGGAAAGAGCTTCTCTGGCCAGAGAGAGAGCAAAGGAAGGCTAGGGCAACCCCGAAGTCCTCCTGCCCAGTCTCGGTGCGTGTGTGCGTGTGTGTGTGTGTGTGTGTGTGTGTGTGTGTGTGTGTAGGAGGGGACGGCAGAGGGAAAGGGAGCAGATATCTGCGCAACACTGAGAGGAGACCTGAGCACACACTACTTTGGAAATCATCCTATGTTTTAAAAAATAGGAAAGAAAATCTCACTTCTCCCTAAGTTGGGAACGTGCAGAGCCAGCCCGCCTCATGTCCTGCTGCCGTCTCCACCCCAGAGAGAACAGTGTACGGTGAGTGGCTGCCCTCCACTGGTGGGTGCTGGACAGGCCCCGACCTGCGACCCGGACAGGCCCTCTGGTGGTGATCTAGCGCATGCTCCTGCAGGTTGGAAGCACAATTTTTCTCCCAAGAGGAAGAAAAGGAAAGGGCCCAAGCCTAATGAAGAGGTGTTTATTTTTTAACTGCTAACAGCCCCTTACTCCATTAAAACTCACAGGACAGGTCTATGGACCACTGAGAACCCAATCCCAGGTGGGTAAGTGGGACTCAGTGCAGAGACCTAATATTCAGAGCATAGAACTGGCTGCCTGTCTGGAAATGGACTTCACATCCCATGGTGTTCATAAGACCATGCGATGGGATCAGATCCAGAGCCACCTCACAGGATGTCTTCCCAACCTCTACACTCGAAAACAGACCCCTGGCAGCAAGGTGGCACGGGAGAGGGAGGAGGTGGGCCCAGGACATGCATCAGTGAGTGATCACAGTGGCACTCTACTGCCTCACTCATGGAAACCAGTCCTTAAATACCAAGGTCAGATGGGCTGGTCCGAGGCCATCTTCTTAGCCAAAACCCAGGGCTCATTTTCAGGAAATTGACAGTGAACAACGAAATGGAATTTTTTTGGCAGATGCTAGTTCAGTTGTTTTTGCCTAATATCCTCCCTTAGCTGCATGTATATTTATTTATAATTATAACCCTGGTGGACTTCAGCCTTCTCTTTGTTGGGAATGAGTTTGTTGTCAGTCAGAACTGGTCCACGACAACAACCTGTTCTCCAAACCCAGGCTATTCCCTGCTCCCGTTGCTGGCAAGCCGGCCCAAAGCAGTGAGGCCAGGGTTAGGCATTCCCAGGGCAGAGGTTGGGGTGAGTGTGAGGCCCAGGCAGCTGCACCATCTGCTCTGTTTTCATTTAACTGTAATTTGTTTTCAAAATTAAAAGTCAAATATGGTTTTTAACAGTCAAAATCCTCTTCGGCCCTGCCTTATTTTATTCTCATTTACTTAGTCATCTAAAAAGTGTTCACAGTGTGCCTACTATGACCAGGTGTTGTTCTAAAAGCCAGCACACAGCAATGGGGAAACAAAATCCTGGTCCTCATGTAGCTCACCCTCTATCAAGAGGACGCAGCTGACAAAGGCACAGCATTTCAAGTGTGATCTACTGTAAGGAGACACCCTGCAGTGTACCAGCAGTGAGGGTGGCTAAGGTTCCAAGTGGGGTGCTCAGAAAGGTCACCCCAAGAGTGATTTTCAGCAGAGCAGCAACAGCCTGACATGCAGCTCACAGGGTCAGAGCATTCTGAGAAGAGAGCTCTTATCAGGCAGGAGAGCACTTAGAATGATCACAGCTCAGCCAGAAGGCTTCTGTTGCTGCAACTGTTGGGCAAGGGAAGAGGGTGAGGTGTGGTGGGAGATGAGGAGGCACATGAGGTGGGCACAAGAGGCGGTGCTCTGGGCAAAGCTCTTGGTTTCTATCCTGAGTGAAGCAAGAAGGCACAGGAAGGTTCAGCACAGGGGACCAACATGATCCAGTTGGCTTTCTGGAAGAACCATTTTGCTCCTCATGCTGGCAGATGGAGAAGGTAAGGGCCAGCAGAAAGGCAGGTGCTGCAATAACCCAGGTAGAGACCATGGCGGGCCTCTGAGGGTGCAAGCTTCAGGACAGAGAGAATGGGCTGAATTCCAGATGTGTTTTGGGGGAAAGCCAGGAGGACTTGCTAAGGGACTGGAAGAAGGATATAAAGAGAAGAGCCAAAAATGATCATAGGCACACAAAAGAGAATTGCCATTTATTGACATGGGACAGAGTGCAGGAGGGACCATGTGGGGGAAAATCGGAATTCTGTTTCAGATGCCTGCTACACACATGGAGGAGATGGTAGGGGACAGCTTTCCATGCACCTGGCACGTGAATGGGGACCAACATTGGAAGGTACTGGTGTCAAGGCTGTTTACAAAGCCACAAGCCTCACAGTACACCCCGTGCAATGAGTATGGAGAGATACGAACCCCAGTGTTAAGTTCCAATTCCCTGTCACACTTTCCAGCGGAGGTGAGCTTTGCAGAAACCCTGCTCCTATGTAATGCACAATAAAGTGATACTGTGACATTGTTCCACAGCTCAGGCCACTCCCAAGTGACCCTGGACTCACCTACATCTTAACTCAATGCCTGCCATTCCAATGAGCTCAGAAAGAGCTGGTGTGTGAGTTTGGACAAAATTAGGGACTATGCTTCTGTCTTTCCATCCACTGTCCACAACCCAAACTTTTTATAAGTTTCATTTCTCTACCCCAAGTGGGATCCTTGGGCACCAGGGGTACTCACTACGGACCCTGTGTTTGGGCACCCTGCCCTCAGCCTATAGGCTATAGCCCCTTGCCCCACTCTTCCCAACCCTTTGAGGGCACTGTGCTCAAAAGAGATGCACTGCTTTGAATTTGACTATTACTGAAGATAATTAGTTTAGGCAGTACATGCCAAATGTACTTCATGAAGAAAATAGCATTACCTACCCCCCATTCCTAACAGTGTTCTTGGCTGTTTGGTGCATTTTTACTCCTGTCCATCTGCATGAGAATGGATTTGCATTTGGCCTCTCCTTTCCAGCGACCCTTCTAATCCAGCAATATTTCAAGGAGAATGAAAGGCATGCTAAGAAGCCAGGGGAAGAAACTGGCACCAGCTGCATATGGTCAGTGTCTAGATCCTCAAGCACCAGCAGTGAAATGTGTGCCTGACCCCAGGCTGCCCTCCCCACCTGCTTAGAGTGGCACTGACAAGTCAAAGACATTGGCAAAGAGGGTTTGGGTCATCTCTATTCTTTATTCAATTCAGGACAGTGAAGCTGAGCTAGAACAGTGGATTTGATCTCAGAGAAAGAGGCTCCAGAGTGGACATGGAGACAGCTGTGCAGGACGGCTAACTTTCCTTCTGCTGCCTAGTTATGGAAGGCAGGGAACCTACCAAGCTGGGCTAGATCTGTCGGCCTTCTGGGTACCCCAACATTCCCTGGGCGCTACTTGCCCAATGCCACTTAGCTGGACCTCTGCCTTTCCCTCCCTGGAAGTCAGAAGTGGGGTGGACTTTCTGCTAGGATCCACATTTCCCTTCAAAGGACACTTCTCATTGAGTACTACTGGAAATGCTTTCTAATTCAGGAGAGTGAGTGGCTATTTCTGCTTCTCTTAAGCTTAGCGTGTCAGCCTATCAGATGCAGAGACTGTAGGAATGAAAAAGACAGAAGAGTGTTTCAAATGGAGCTTCTTCCAGAATCCCAGAGACAGCTCAGGGAGGGTGGTGAAGAAAAAATAAAGTGAACTCAGATGAGACATCCCCCTTCCCTATCCTCTACAGATGACAAACCCACAACTTCAGGGATAGAAAGGGACCATGTGGAGTACAGCCATACCTCATGAACATTTGACAGCAGGCTTTGACTCCGGAGCAGGGAGAAGCCCCCCAACTTCAGCACCTTGTCTGGGGACCCAGAATTCATCATTGGTATCTTACTAAACATTCCCACCTCTTAGAGTCATCCCTGAGGCTTCTCCCATGAGGGCAAGGAGGTGGGAAGACACCAGCCACAAAGCCAGGCCGAGGAGCTATCTAGGGACGAGGAGTCCGCCATGCCTTCCACCTTGCTTTCCAGGACCTCCAGGTGTACGGTTCAGACAGAGGCCAGACTGTGACCCTTGGGTCCCTGAGGTTGGTACTTAAGAAGACTCCTGCAGGGAGGTGGAGGCAGCAAGCCCAGGCAGGAGGTGTGGGGCTGCTGCTCAGTGAATGTACTGGTTCCTGCCCAGGTGAGCGGTGTCAGTGGACTGCACCATGGGACCTGCCATCGCCTCCTCAAAAATAATGACCTGTGGGAGAGGGAGGACTGGGCTGTGGAGTCTGTCCTGGAGCCAGACCAGGGGGCTGTGTGGTGGCAGGGTTGAGAGAGAATGGAGGAGGCTAGGTAGAACTTCTGCCTTGTCCCAGTCTTGACCAAAGGCTCCCAGAGAAGCAGTTTGATGCCAGGAGGAGAGGGGTGGGAAGGGAGTCGCAAGAAAAAGGATAGGAGGCTAGAAGTGCTCCCACCTGGTTGTCTCCTGGGTTCAGCCAGGCGCCTGGGAGGTAGAGTGTCTCCTGGGGTCCAATGTTCCAGTATCGTCCAAGATTCTGGCCATTGATGAACACAACCCCCTTCTCCCAGCCCTTCAAACAGAAGGGTGGGACATTAGTCTACCACAAGAGCCAGGAAGGGAACATCACACTGGAAGGCAGAGACACAGTCAGACACACAACCTGTGTTCTTCACTCAGCTTCAGAGACCACAAAGCTGGCATGTTCTGCCTCACCCTGCTAACTCTGAGCCTCCCAGGCAGGGTACCCAAGCACTGGCTGGACAGAGGAACCCCTCCCCAAGAAGTACCACTAGGTACTTCTGCTTTGTGCCCCTTCCCCCAGCGGGGTACTTTCAGATGGGCAAACCAGGTGCCAGAGGCCTCCAGCCAGGGCAAGCATGAGGGCTGTGGCTCAGCCCTGGGAAACATGAGATCTGGGGCAAGGAAAGGGGCCTACAAACCTCCAGCTTCAGAAACGTGTCAGAAGGGGAAGGGACAACAGACAGAACACCCAAGAAGAAAGCAGGGAACGTAGGTGCTTCAGGGAGAGTGCTCCATTTGTCAGTGCCAAACCTATGGACAGAACATGGCAGGAATGGGTGGGAGGGACTTTCTTGGATCTGGTTCCAGATTTGCATAGGATTCCTAGGGGGCATCCCTTCCACTCTCAAGGACCCACATCCCCACACCCTGCCTCTTAACCAGGACACAGGAATGGCAGCAAGGTGGCACAACAGACCTTCCTTTCCTAACAGCACAGGATTCTGGGGTGGTACTGCCCTCGCTTGGCCAAGTACCTGGGCCTCAGTCCATCTGTGCACCTGCAGACAACTGCAGGGCTTCTGGGTCCCAGCTCTCATGCACATTATCTGCAAGCTCACAAGGATTCAGGAAAGGACCCACCTCTGAAAGAAGCTCTTTTTCATATCCAGGCTGTAGATTCTGAAGTTTTTCAGGGGAGAATTGTTTAGATAGAGATTTCCAATCAAACCTGTGGGGAGGGGGCCAGGAAACATGAGCAAGCCCAAGGCAGAGGGAGCTGGCCAGCTATGTCCAAGGCCACCATAGAAGTTCTCAGAAAGTTCAAATATGGGCTTCTCCTACAGCAGGTGCTGGCTAAGGAGCTCTGCACTTGGAACAAACCCTCCTATCCATGCCAACAAGACGATAACCAGCAAACACACGACTTCCCAGGATGTAGAAAGAATGATCCACCTGAGCAAAGGGACAGTGCTGAGATGTCACAGATGAGAAGGGCCTCTGGACTCTTTGAGGGAAGCTCTGCATGGCCAAGAGGTAACAGGGTGGAGTGGGATTCCGGCAGGCAAAAGAATACAGACAGGCATCAAGGGGCCCACAGATGCTCTTAAGTGATAAGGACAGGTATGTAGGTGTCGTGTGTGTGTGTGTGTGTGTGTGTGTGTGTGTACACATTTCTAGAGGGGAGGTCTGCAACTTACAAACACAGAACTGTGGTGCAGAGGACAGGACTCACAGAGGGTGTCAGGACACACTTGATGAGGGCCCCAGAGACACAAACATGGGCAACAAACAGGCCAGGAGGTCATTCCAACCCCTAGCAGAACAAAGGAAGGAGGTGGGCTCCCAGAGGGAACCTGGGAAGGCACTGAGACCCAGAGCAATACTGGGAACTATTACAGGAAAAGAAAGCCTGGCTTGGATGATGCTACAAGCTACTTCCAGGTCTTTTTGAAGAGGAAGTACCAATGTTGGGGCTACATGGCTTCTGTGAAGGCTACCTACCAGAAGGATCTCTACTGAAAATATGACCAGGGAAAGGGTGTGCAAGTTTCCTCTACTAATGTAGAGCTTGGAGAAAATGGGAAGGTCAGCAGT